GGCCGGAGAGGGGAGAAGGAGGAGGGCGGGGACCTACCGGCCAGGCCCTCAGCACAGTGGACAGGGGTGGGGGGTGATTCCCGCTGACCCCAGGGACAGCTCCCGAGGCGCAGGACTGGCCCAGCCCGGGCAGCGCTGGGCGCCTGGTGCTCTCTAGATCCCACCCCGGGAGGAGAAGGTGAGGGCAGGGCCTCAGAAGGGGACCTGGGGACACGCAGTGGTCCTCGCTGCAGGAGGAGCAGGTCTACTTCCCCGACAGTCTTCCACACGAATGACGGGATGCGTCGAGTTAATGAGCACTGGCAGGAAACGGCTCAGAGAGACACAACCTTGTACCTTACGAGAGTCTCACCTCGTATGCACACCCACATATGTGCACTGAAGCCTTGTGTGGACACCCACACACAGGCATGCACAGGCATGCACACACAGACACATGCACACGCACATACGTGCACTGAAGCCTTGTGTGGACACCCACACACAGGCACGCACAGGCATGCACACACAGACACATGTACACGCACATACGTGCACTGAAGCCTTGTGTGGACGCCCACACACAGGCACGCACAGGCATACACAGGCATGCACACACAGACACACACATGCACACACACATACGTGCACTGAAGCCTTGTGTGGACGCCCACACACAGGCACGCACAGGCACACACAGGCATGCACACACAGGCATACACATACGCGTGCACACAAACACGTGAGCCCGGGAGGGAAAAGACGCCAGGAAGGCAGAGCACAGGGCCCCTGGAGCACATTCAGTCCCCCAGGAAGCTGGCAGAGGGAGATTTAAGGGTGCAATGAGAGGTAGGGGATGGGCAGAGAGGGGGCTCAGGAGCAGGGATTGAGGGGTCCCAAGGCCCAGATCACTCATTTACATCCTTCTCCTGGGGTTACCCCCAAGGCCCCCAACTGCTTGCCCACCAAGACCTTCCTAAACCAGGACCCTTGCTGGGCAAGGCACAAGCTGACAAGGCAGAACGGGGCCCAGCCCCACCGCCCTTGGCACCGCCTGCGTGCAGCCCCTCCCACTAGCACACTGCAGGGGCGGGGGTGGGTGGCTCAGTCCTCCGTGGTGAGGGGGGGTAGGTGAGGGTCATGGGCCAAGTGTACTCGAGGGTGAAGGCCTTTTCCTCCTTCACAGCACAGGCGGAGGCCAGGGTCTGGGCCTCCTTTGTTCCCATCTCTAGAATGGGCGTCATAGCACAGTGTGACAGAAAGGTCATAGAAGCAAGAGAGCCCACAGAGGGGCAGCGCTGAGCGTGGTGCTGGCTTCTTGCTTGTGTGCCTATTAAGGTGCACACCACCTCCTCCTCCTCCTCCTCCTCCTCCTCCCCTACCCCCACCCCCTTCTCCTCCTCTTCCTCCTCCTCCTCATCACTGTCATGTGCTTGCCTTGCTGTTTGCTACACACAGCAGAACGAAAGAACTGAAAGGAACCAGCCCTTGGAGCCCCAGTCCCAGCACCTTGGAGTGGGGCGTGGTGGGGAATGGAGGCTCCCCAGAGGGGGCAGACAGTGCAGGGCAGCCAAGAGGCTGCTCCAGGCAGCACCAGCCCCCCACACCTGCAGCAAGAGCAAACAAGAACAGGCAGCCAGGGCTCCTGGGAGCCAGGTAGCTGGCCTAGGACACCGTTGCAAGCCGAGGCACCAGCCTCCCTGGACCCCAGCGGCCAGGCGATGGCGGGGCGGGGACGGGCGCCAGCTCCGACACTCCCGAGTCCTCCACCGCAGCGGCCCGAGGCCCCGGCCCTCTGTCGCCGGCTTCCCCCGGGCTCCAGCTCCACGGTGGCATTCTCTTCCCTGCCTGTTACCCAGATGGTGCCTGTCTCTTTGTCCTGAGGGGTTTTCTCCCCTTCCCTTGTCTTTCTTCTTGCTTTCATTTTTTTCTCTCTCTCCCAATTCCAAGGATGAAGGAGCAACTCCCTGGACGGCTTTGAGAAGACAAAAGGGGCTTCTGTCAGCCAGCCCTGTGGCAGCCCAGCCACCCAGAGCCGGGGGATATGGAAATGAGCTGGGGCGTATGCAAATGAGGCTCCTGGGTGATTTGCATGGAGGCAGCCCAGGCAGGTGGGGAGGGTTGTGGGGAATTCGTGAGCCTCCCTGCGGGGGCTCCTGCCCCAGGTACCTGTCTTTCCCAGGCAGCCTCCTCTCTGGACGCGCCAGCCTCCGCAGCATGGCCGTCTGGACAGCTGCTGGGGTTTAATCGCAGCTCTCTGGGTAAATAAAGTTGATTTTCTCATTGTTACCTGTGTAAGCACGTAGCTGGTTGGATCGGTCTTCGGATCAAGTTTGGAGGGTGAATTTGGGACAGGGGTGAGGGGGAACTTAAGGTTTTCCTGTGCGACAGGGAAGACGACCACAGAGAGGGACCACGGATGGGGAACACACAGAGGGGTCCCAGCGAGTCCCAAACTCAGGCTTTGCCAGGCTTCCGATAACACGGTGGGGAAGCACATGGTGTGACAGTGCTGGGAGCAGTGATTTTGCCCAGCAGTGCCTAGGACGACAGATGACAGGTGGGCAGGAGGAAGGAAGTAGCAGAGGGACAGGGGACCTCGGGGAGAGACAGGGGAAGGGAGAGGGGATTGAGGGAGGGAGGGATGGATGGATGGATGGATGGATATATGGGTGATAGGTGGATGGGTAGGAGGGAGAGAGGGAGGAGGGTTGGCTAGTTTGCTCCAGTTGCACATCTGCGCCTCCAAAATTCCTATGCCCAAGCCACACCCCCTGCCATGGAGGTATTACAAGGTGCTTAGCCCTCATGATGGGATTAATGAAAGACAGGAGAGTTCCCCCTCCCCTCCCCTCCCCACCAAAAAGAGACTGGCCACATACGCGCCACCTGAGTCCAACCTTGCTGCCACCCAGCCTCCAGGACTGCGGGGACCAAGTGTCTGTGCCAGAAGTCACCCAGCCGACGGACACGGCCGCAGCAGGACACCAAGGGCTGGGTGGCTCGGGCAGCAGAGCGCATTTGCTCTCCTCCGCTCTCTCAGTTCTGCGGGCTCAGCTCCCAGGTGGAGACCCCGGCTGATTCTGCGTCTGCCGAGGGCTCCCTCGCTGGCCTGCACACGGCAGCCCGCGCACCGTTCCCCTACGTGGCCTCTGCTCCCTGCATGCCCTGGGCTCTCTTCTCGTGAGGACACGAAGTCTCGCTGCTCAAGGCCCTATCCTTCGGGCTTCACTGAACCCCCGATTCCTTCCTTAGAGTCCCCTTCTTCCAATACAGCCACACTGGGGAGTCGGGGCTCCAACACACCTGAGTTTTTGGGGCACATCATGCCGTGGGCAGATGGGTGAGTCAGCGGGTGGGTGAGTGTGATAGGGACGCCTGGCGTCTCCTCTCGTTCTTCCATCTGTGCCACCAACCTCTCGGAAGCCAGGCCACCTCCTGAGCACAGAGGCAGACACTGTCCCACCTTCAGCAAGCCCACGCAAGGCCGTGGCTCCTGCAGGAAAAGATCTAGCCGAGAAGGCCCTGGCTTCAGGCTCAGGCCGCCCGGGGACCGCGAGCCACGACACGCGTTTTCCTCATCTGCCATTTCCTCCTCTGTGAGGACGGCGACAGCCCCTGCCCTGTGAGCACTCGGGGAGTGAACACGCAGCACACACACCTGCTCAGGAATACACGTGCTGCCCCCATGTCCTGCGTGATCCGGGGCGAGGCTGGGCTGTCGGAGTCCACCTCAGCCTCGCCACCTGCAAAGTGGGCAGCCTAATGCCCGCTCCCAGGGGTGTGTGATCCGACGTTGAAATGCAGCACAGAGCAGGTGCAGCGCAGGGGAGCTGCAGCAGGTGGAGGGGGCGGGGGTTGGCTTTGGCCCAAGCAGCGCCTTTGCGTGCAACTCTGTGCGTCTCCCTAGCAGCCCGCAAAACGCACCCCGGCCCCTTCCGCAGCCAACACAGAGAACACGAGCAGGTGTCCATGCATTTCTGTGGAAGGAGTGGGCATGGCCGCGCCTGCAGCCCCTGGCGGACGTGGGGGCATTGTCTGGGAAGGTCTCGCATCCTCACCACCCCCCGGCTGCCCTCGCAGAACAAGGTGGGACTCGGCCCTTAGCGATGCTCTCTCCAGCGAGAGCCTTCCGCGTGGCGCCAAGGCGCTCAGAGCCGCTTTATGTCCGTGTTTACGCAGCTCAGAGAGGCTCACCCAAGGGAGGGTCCTTATTTTCTGGGAGCCCCAGAGGAGGGGACTGGGGCATGCGCACTTCGTTGGCTCCCAGTCCTTAGGACCTGAGTTTGGGGTTGAGAGGAGGCGTGGTCCGGCAGCTCCACACCCCAGCCCAGGTGCTTCCACACTCCAGCCTTTGTCTCTGCCTCGGCTGGCCCTGGTCCTCCGAGCCCCGCCAGCCGGGGGACCGCCCCTGGCCCCGGACATGCGCTGTCAGGTCCACTTCTGGCCTCGGCCGTGGGGCCCCTCGGATAACACCGCCGGTGCTGGAAAGCCTCACCCGCCTCCTCTCAAGAACCGGTGGTCCCAGGCCCTCGTCCACAATCCTGCATGTGTAGAAGGTGGAAGAAAACGATGTCATCAGAAACCGCAGTGCCTTGTCGCGTAGGGTTCTGTGACTTACAGTTCTCTCCCCTTGGCTGCACTTGAATATTAAATGTTGTATTAATAGCTCACTCTTAATTATCCATGAGTAATGTACTATGGCTCAGAAATTAATGAAGGCAAGGACCCAATCGAGAATAGTTCCCACTCCTCCGGGTGCCGCGGGGCTGACGGGAGCGGGGCGATTTGCATATGATTTGCATGAGAGGCTGCGGGCCTGGTGGCCGTGGTTGAGGAGGGAAGAGGTGCGGGCTGAAGGCCCCGCCACGTTCCCACTTCTCCCTCCTGCCTCCAGCTCCTGCCCACGCCGACGTCCCTGCCGGTGTGACTACCACTCCCGAAATGTCATCGCCATAACAACGATAGGAAGCGGGGGCGGGGTGCTTACGTCATAGGGGCCCCTGGGAGTGGGTCGCCGGGGCTGCGTTAGGGTGGGGGTGGGGGGTCTCGCGATGATCTCTCTGTCCTGTCCCTGCCTGCTCTCCCGCCCCATGGTCTCCCGCCATGGGATGAAGTGGCAGCAGCCGCTGGACCTCCAGAGGGGCGACCCAGCTCCCAAGTAAACCAGGTGGGCCGCCAACAACATGGCTGTTCATGGAGGACTCACCACGGACCCGCACGCTCGGGTCCACCACCTAATGCCCACACGCAAATACACGCACGCTCGGGTCACACGCCTAACACCACGTGCAAATACACGCACGCTCAGGTCACACGCCTAACACCACATGCAAATACACGCAGGCACTTGCTATGTTTTATGGTTTTATTTCTATTTATGGTTTTATTTCTAAAGATTCCTTTTATTTATTTGAAAGGCAGAGTTAGAGAGAGGGAGGGAGGGAGAGAGAGAGAGAGGTCTTCCATCCGTTGGTTCACTCCCCAGTTGGCCGCAATGGCCAGAGCTGCGCTGATCTGAAGCCAGGAGCTTCCTCCTGACCTCCCATGCGGGTGCAGGGGCCCAAGGACTTGGGCCATCTTCTACTGCTTTCCCAGGCCATAGCAGAGAGCTGGATCAGAAGTGGAGCAGCCGGGACTCAAACTAGTGCTCCAATGCAGGATGCTGATGTCGCGGGCGGTGGCTTCACGCCACTGTGCCACAGCAGCAGCCCCTGTGTTCACTATTTTTTAAAACACACTCCAGGAAATGGTCTTAAGAGGTTACACACAGGATTAGCATTTAACTGGGCCACTGCACTCCCAGGGTTTATGGTTTCGAGAAATGAAAGCCGTGAGGTCCCAGGAGCACTTGCCAATCAGCCCTATTCACTGTAACCAAATGGCAGGGGCAGTCCCGACACGCGCCAGCGACTGAATGGATAAGCAAAGTGCAGCCGAGCCACACAGCGGAATATTATTCAGCCCTGAAAAAGAATGGTGTGCGGACACATGCTACAGCGAACCCTGACAGAGATACAGAGTGAAGGGAGCCAGGCACAGGAGGCCACTTGAACTTCACAGCTCCCCAAGGAGACACATCACAGGGGCAGGAGCTGGGGAGATGGGGGAAGTGGGCAGGGGTAGGGGTGACCGCTAAGGGTGCCGATGTGCCCTGTTGAGGCACTGCAGTGACAGCTGCACACGTCTTAGATCTACTAAAAACCTTTGCACAGGATGTGACTGAGATCCCGATAAAGCAGCTACCACAGCTGCCTGCACTGTCCCATCTAGACCGGTAGCTGTTCCCAGCCGCTGCACACCTGTGCCAGCTGCATGACGTGTGGGGGCGGACAGGAAGTGCCCGGGTCAGGCCTGGCCCTGACCTGCCGCCCTGTGGGTTTTGCTTGTAGGGTCACCTGGCAAGAGCGTGTGCCGTGACACTGAGGCCGCCGGGCAGCTGAGCCAGCCCTGACAGGTGCTCTGGAACAGGGGGTGACACCGAGGCCACGCAGGGCGGGCAGGGCCCTGGCAGGGCCCAGGAAGGGATTTGCTGTTCCCCTGCGGTCCCCAAACCATCACCCTACTCCACCCCACCCCCTGCCGCCCCAGGTACAAAAGGGCCTGGCCCTGTGGCTGAGCCCTGGAGGGACGCCACGGGCAGGAGGAAGGGCACAGTCCCCTGGGGGGTCATGCCCCGGGGAGGCTGCACCTGCTGAGCCACAGCAGACCTGCAGCCTGAGCGCGGTGGCCTTTTAGAACGTGGCCCTGGGCACGTCCCTCCTGCCCGCCAGCCTTCTGCTGGCCACGGCTGCCCAGCCCACACTCCCATCCACCTGCTCCGGGCCTCGGCCCCGCCCGTCCCCGTCCTATCCCCTGGGCCTCAGGGCAAGGTCACCTCACAGAGAGGCCACACGTCCCTCCCCACCTACAGGAGCCAGCTCTGCATGCCGCCTGCCCACCTCTGCCTTTGTTTCTAACTGCGCAGCTGTAAACTGTAGCTCTGTGATCCTGGGGTGGAGCGCTGTGATTTCGCTGCGGGAGAGCAGAGCCTGTGTCAGGTTCTGGGCTGGTTTCTAAGGGCTGGATATGCAGGCAGCACCTGCTCACGAGCGTCCGAGCAAAGCACCAGACGGGCGGCTGTCAGCCCGGCCCCGGGACTGCTCCTGAGTGCTGAGAGTCATTGAAGATGCCATCTGCTCTTTGGTGATGGCTCTGCCCCCCCCCTTTTTTTTTGAAAGGCACAGTTAGAGAGAGAGAGATCCTCCATCTGTTGGTTCACTCCCCAAATGGCCGCAACAGCCAGGGATGGGCCAGGCTGAAGCCAGGAGCTTCTTCCAGGTCTCCCACGTGGGTGCAGGGGCCCAAGGACTTGGACCATCTTCCACTGCTTTCCCAGGCCATAACAGAGAGCTGGATAGGAAGTAGAGCAGCCAGGACTCAAACCGATGCCCATAAGGGATGCCGGTGGCGCAACCTTGGGCACCACAACACTAGTCCCTGGGTCAGACTTCTTGAAGCTCACGCATCCGGAAGTAACGCACCCAGGCACAGGGCTGTCTGGGCTCAGCCATGCGAGCAGGCACGTTCACGGCATCGAGGAAAACCCGAGCGCGAATGGAGGCCCTGGGCGGCAATCCTGGCGCAGGCAGCACCGGCCCTGCTGGTTCCGACGCCGGCAGTGTGGGCGGGGCGAGGGCGGGGTTCAGCTTCCGCTTGTCCGTTTTTCAGATTTCTCGCAATGAATGCTTCTTTGCTCATCAGAGTGCAAAGGGAGGGGAGGCAATTTCTCAGGGTTCCTCCAGGTCTGGAAGATTCTAGAAGGCATCAGCCCCAGAGGGCGCAAAGGCAAAGCCCAAAGATGCAGAGGCAGGCGGAGCCATCTCATTGGGCAGGGCCAGCCGCTGGGGGAGGCTCCCACGGCTGCAGCTCCGCTGGTTCTCACTGGGGGTCTCCAGACCCCTCCTCACCTTGGCCCTGGGCTGCTGGTTTCATTGGGTCCTCTCTGCTCATCTGCTCACTTAACTCAGGTTTCTGCGCCACTGTGGGTGCAGGTGTTGCATGGAGAGGGGCTGGGATCCAGCCTAGCACACAGCAGACAGGTCCTGGCCCTCGTGGAGGTGATAGCGCATAGCTGGTGGCCCCAGTGGCTGAGGGGGACTGTGGCCTGGCTCCTTGGGGACCATGGCCATCCCGCTGTGCAATGGCTTGCGTGTGATTTGTCCCCCAACAGCTCACATGTTGGAAGTGTGGTCCCCAAGGTGGTGATGGAACCTTCAAAACATGTAATCTCATGGGAGACAGGCGGTTGGCAGCACAGCCTTGGAAGGGACTAATGTAGTTCTCACCACACCCCAGCTGGGTCTCTCGGGAGTGGGTCGTTGTAAAAAGAATGAGTCTGGTGGGCTGTTACCGTGGCACAGTAGGTTAATTGCACAGATTTAAAGAGAGAGAAATAGACACACAGCAATAAGTTGTTGTAACAATTGGAGTCACATAGTTGTGTTTTCTGATTTCTTTCCTCTTCTAACAGCCTGGGCACTCGGCGCACAACAGGATAATGCCACCTTGCGTTCATGCAGTCTTTCCGTCTTTAGCTACCTACTTCCGTGGCTGCGCCAAATTTCCGCTAACTGCCCTGTGCATGTGTCCCCAGCCAGCGCGAAACAGTGGCTTCAACAGCAGGCGCTTACTACTGCCCTTGTGGCCCTGGACCGTTACATGGCACCTCTGGCCTCCACAAGCCTCACCTACCAGCACACCTCACGGGCTCATCTGTATGGGGTGTGGCTCGGCTCCACGTGGTCTCCCATCCACCGGCCAGCCAGCCGGGGCTGTTCCCATGGCAACAGCCCAGCTCCAAGCCAGCAGGTGGAAGCCACAAGGCCTCTTGAGTCTTAGACTCCAAACAGGTGTCAAGTTGCATAGGCGACTTTCTATTGGCTACAGCAGGCCATGTGACTGATCCCTGATTGGTGGGGTGGGACCTAGACTCTCTCCAAGGCAGGAACCAGAGAGCCACGTTGAAGAGACCAGGACGGGTGGAAAATGAAGAACCAATTTTGCCATCCATCTCTGATTTTTTTTAACTCTTTTTCATTCAATTTAAAACTTGTTTTTAAACCAACTGTACAACCTTAAATTACATTTTAATGTGCATTAAACCGAGATGATCCAATTTTCCTATCGTCGGTTGCTGGCCATCCATCAACGCACTCCTGGCCACTAGGCACCCGGGCCCACACTCCCCTCCGAAAACCTGTCCCTGCCCGTTCTGGAAGCTTCCATCATCTTCACACATCGGCTCCCCGTCCCAGAATGAACAGCGCAGGAGCCTGCAGGAGCGAGCGCCACAGCCGCCCACCCACCCTCAATCCCCCCCAGGCCCAGCCCACGATGACGCCATCCGTCACTGCCACCCTCGGTGGCTGGGCGCCCCAGGCCCGGCTGCCCACAGCTCAGTGGAACCCTTAATGGTCACGTCCAGTGGCAAGTCATTTATTAGTCTCCTTAGCAGCCAAAGAAAATACGGCCTGAGGAGCCGGCAGGCACGCGGGAACTGTGGTTTTGGTTTTTATGACCACGTCAAGCCTCAGCCACCAGGGGGTGATCCGGGCCTGGGGGGTGGGGTGGGCACAGGCGTCCTGAGCCCCACGAACGAGCGTGGAGAATCTGCATGGCCCGAGTCCTCCTGCGTGGCTTCTCTCTCTCTCTTTCTCTATTCTGGAGTTAGAAGCTCTTCTTTGTGATGGTAAAACCGCCTCCAGAACTCCTCCAGAGACTGGCTACCAGGAGAAATCAGCCATGAGCAGACCTTGGGGAAGGGGGAATATAAGCCACTCTGCAACTGGAGTGAGAATGGCAGGACATCCCCCCCGCCACCACCTAGCCTCAGTTGTTCCCATCTGTAAAATGGGCACACAGCAGGGGCCCACTCTCTGGGTGTGGGATGTCTGGCCCTGTGCTCCAAAGGTCTCTAGGCAGGACCGACTCCTGAAATTCAAGCTTGCTGCCATCTTGACACCCTTAAGAATTTCTTCTCTGAACATGCGTTTTGTCAGCAAAGCCCCATGGGACACGGATGCACGTGGCCGAGCACGTGGCTGAGCCAGAGAGACAAAAAGAAAGGAGACGCCCTCGGTTCAGAAGGCTGAGCAGGGACACCTGCGTCGTGTTTCCCACTGGGCCCTGCGGGTCCCGTGGGCGGCCCTGGGTGGCCTGGTCCTTCCCGGGCCTCGCTAGGGCTCCTCCCCGCCGGCATCGGAGGGGCTGTTATCCTGAGTGACAGCCCATCCACCTGCGTCTCCTCCCTGCCTCTGCCCAGCTCCAGCCTCAGCCCCGAGCACCGCCCACCTCCTCCAGCCTGCAGTCGCCCGGGACCCCCACAAGCCTCCACTCTGGGCTCCAGACAACTCCCTGCCCACCAGCCCTGGGCCGCTGCTTCCGAAACTCCAGGGGCCTGGATGCCCCTTGTCTGCCTGACAGCTCGTGTTGACTGTGCTCCCGCCGCTCAAGGCCACACCGCCGTCACACGGGCCCTACGACAGGTGCAGCAGGCATGGCTTCCGCTCACAGGGAGGCAGCAGGCACACAGAGGGGTTGATTCACTTGCCCCGGGACACACAGGCTCTGAGTCTGGCAGGTGAGCTGCAGCTCCCTCGCCCTAAGGCATCATGGGACTTCTCCACACCATTGCACAGGCCAGGACTTCTTCCAGAACATTCTTCCCAGAGGGCTCCCGCACTCATCCGAGTGACTTGATCTGCTGCTCGCTGTGTGGCTTTGGGCAGCTCGCTTTCCCTCTCTGAGCCTTCAGTGCCTCTTGTTTCCAAAGGCCGTGTGCTCAGACCCACTCTGCCCACCAGCCTGCCTGCAGCTGCTTTAAGGGAACAAGACGGGGCCTCCCCCGGGGGGCCCAAGGCTGTGTCTGGGCCATGACTAAGCAGGCCCAGCGCTGGCCCATCTGCCTGGCCGCATCCGTCACTCCATGCCACCTCCTCCCAGAAGGGCGGGGCCCAGCCTGGACCCGGGCAGCTCACGACGACGTCTTCTCTTCCGTTCGACAGCCTCGCCCGGGCTGCAGCCCCTCCGGGACTCACGCCCTTCCTTCCTGCGCAGGCACAGCCTGGAGGAGCCCTGGGCCCGACCCAGCTCAGCCCAGGCCGGCCGTGACCTTGGGAGAAAATCTGTGCAGAACGCCCTTTGTCCCACTAATCCTGCTAAGCAGGCCTGGCTTCAGCGGGCTGCGTGCACCTCAGGAGATGGGTGCTCACGAGAGACCCATTTCACAGACGGGCAAACTGAGAGGGAGAGGGCTGGAACCAGGCCAAGAGCAACAGCCCCAGCAGGAGAGGCGGCAGTGCCCAAAGGCATCCTCAGTGGGAGTGGCAGCCCTTCCTTGCCAAGGCCAAAGCCCATCCAGGGACCCTGGCCACGAGGGGATGGAGACGCTCGGGCCCCTCCCTCCCTGACAGCATCATCCCTCCATGGCCAAGCTGTGTGACCTCGGGCACGCTGCCTTCCCTCTCTGGGCTTTCCCTTTCTCATTCAGCCACACACCTTGAAGGTGCTGTGGACCACGTAGCTCAAAGGCTGACCCACGATTCCCATTACCCGGATGAGGAGACCGAGGCCAGGAGAAAGGGGAGCTGCTGGCCCCGGTCAGGAAGTGCAGGAAGGTGAGCGCAGAGGATGTGGGTGTCCACAGGGCATCGGTGTTTCCTGTGCAGAGCCAGAAGCGGGGCCAGCCAGGAGGGCGGGAGTAACCCTTTCCTGGCCGGGCGCCCCTCGCCATCCTCCCCACCCCCTCCGAAGCCTGCAGACAAAGCTGCCTTTATCCAGGCTGTTGCCGCATTCTTCAGTGACACCAGAGGACAAAGGCGGGGGGCCACCGGCAGCGACAGGAAAGCCTGCCCGCCCCAAACCAGTTTGCAGCCTTCCCACGCCCCGCCCCCACCACCACCAGGCCTCCCGGGGCCTCCCGGCCCAGTGGGGAGCCCAGGGAGGAAGTCTCCCAGGGCCCCGCTGGAGCCGGGGCTGCTTGCCCCAGGCAGGTGGGGCTGGGGCAGCCTGGGTCCTGGCCCTGGCTCTGCCCGACTGTTGACACGCAAGGCCCATCTCCTCCTCCTCTGGCCTTCCAGGCCTCTGTCTCCCCGTCTGTGAAATGGGCTGGGTACCTGCCGGGGCTCGGCGAGGCAGTGCGGAGAGGCTGGCCACGCGGGGAAGGCGAGTGTGGCTGCTGTTGCTGTCACTGTGATTGGCTTCCGGCAGTGCCTGGCCCAGGCTGTTCCCTCTGCCCGGAACGCCCGTCCCCCAAGTCCTTCCTGCCCCTACTAACTCCTGTCTGTGTCTTTCCACGACTGCTGGCTTAGGGGCCTTCTGGGGCCTCTGTGTCCTGTGCCTCAGTGTCACAGTGCCCAGGGCCTGAGTTGTCACTGCCTGGTGACCAACTGTCACCATGACAGGTGGAGGGGTGGACGGATGGGTGGAGGGGTGGACGGGTGTGTAGATGGGAGGGTGTCTGGATGGATGGGTAGGTGGGTTGCAGGTGGATGGGTGGGTGAGTGGGTGGGTGAGCGAGTGTGCCAGACTGGTTCTGGATTGGTTGGATCTAGAAAGAAAAGGAGAAAGGGAGAGAGAGAGAAGAAGAGGAGACAGGGACAGGTGACTTGGCCGCCCACAGGGCAGATGGGGGCAGGGAAGCATAAAGAGGGGTTTCTTTGGGGCCGGCGCCTTGGCGCACTAGGTTAATCCTCTGCCTGTAGCACCAGCATCTTATATGGGCACCAGTTCGGGTCCCGGCTGCTCCACTTCCAATCCAGCTTTCTGGCATGGCCTGGGAAGGCAGTAGAAGATGGCCCAAGTGCTTGGGCCCCTGCACCCTTGTGGGAGACCTGGAAGAAGCTTCTGGTTTCTGGCTCCTGGCTTCAGATTGGCCCAGCTCTGGCCACTGCGGCCATCTGGGGAGTGAACCAGTGGACAGAAGACCTCTCTCTGTGGCTGTAAGTCTGCCTCTTAAATAAATAAGTCTTTTTTAAAAAAAAAAAAAGAGGTCTCTTTACCCAGAACTGGCCCCTGAATTCAACTCTACAAGGACAGCATACTTGCAGGATTTCCTTAAAACTAAGAATGGCAACCACGCCTCCCCCAGACCGAGCCCCCTGGCAAGCTGAGCCCTCCCTCCAGGCCCCCACAGTCTGGTGCCAGCCACTGCCAAGGACCCGCCCACTCCTTCCCATGCGTGTCCCTGGGGCATCTACTGAGCAGGTACAAGAAAGGGGATGCTTGGTCCAGTTTCCCCAGAAGATCCCAACCTGAACACACAGAGTGAGAGAGGGCTTTTTTAAATTGATGTATCTGGGGCTGGCGCTGTGGCATGTGGGCTGGGCCTCTGCCATGGTTCTAGTCCCGGCTGCTCCTCTTCCGATCCAGCTCTCTGCTATGGCCTGGGAAAGCAGTGGAAGATGGCCCGGGTGTCCAGGCCCCTGCACCTGCATGGGACCGGAAGAAGCTCCTGGCTCCTGGCTTCGGATCAACATGACTCCGGCCATTTGAGGAGTGATTTTTATCTGTGTCTCCGTCTCTGTCTGTAACTCTACCTCTCAAATAAATAAATAATCCTTAAAAAAAAAAACTATGTAAAATTAATGTATTCAAAAGGCAGAGTGACAGAGAAGTAAAGACAGAGAGAGAAGAGAGAGACACAGAGAGAAGTCTTCCACCTGCTGGCCACAACAGCCGGGGCTGGGCCAGGCAAAGCCAGTAGCCAGGTCTCCCACGTGGGTGGCAGGGGTCCAAGCACATAGGCCGTCATCTGCTGCCTCCCTGGCACATTCGCAGGGAGCTGGCTCAGAAGTGAAGCAGCTGGGACTCTAACTGCTGCTCATATGGGATGTTGGCACCGCAAGAAGCCGCTTAACCTGCTGCACCACAACACCAGCCCCAAGGGAGGGGCCCCCGATGCTCTAACCAGACCAGAGAGGGACAGATATTTGCCTAAGCTCACACACCAGGGTCCACCAAAGTGAGAACTGGGACATAGGGCTCTGGGCTCCTGGTCCAGCGCTCTCTCCTAGGGAGACGGTTGAGTGACAGCGACCAAGGGAGATGAAGAAGAGGGAGAGAGGAAGGAAATGCTGAGAATGGCCTCAACATGCCCATTTCACAGATGAGGAAGCTGAGGCACAGCGGGGAGGGA